TTTTCTATAACTTTAACTAATTTAGTATATTACTATACTAAGCTAAAAGAAGCTAGCTTATTTTTATATATAATTAGTAATAAAATATATAAAGTTAGTATATTATAATATTAGTTTTGTAGATTACTACTTTATTCTCTTATATTCTAAGTAATCTAGTAGATTACTTTACTAAGCTATAAGAAGTTAGCTTATTTTTAATCTCTATTAGTAGTAAAATTAAAATACTTAGTTAAATATAATATTAGTTTTATATATTATTAGTTTATTTTATATAAATCTAACTATTTTACTAGATAACTATACTATACTATATTAAGTTAGCTTATATCTTTGTTTAGTTAGATACTTTTAGTACTTAGCTACTATATTATAATAAAAGTTTTGTAAATTACTAGCTAGTTTTGTAGATTACTACTAGAATTTCTTAGAATTTAACTAAAATACTTAATTACTATACTATACTATATTAAGTTAGCTTATATATTTTTTTAGTTATATACTTTTACTACTTTACTACTATATTATAATAAAAGTTTTGTAAATTACTAGCTAATTTTATAGATTACTACTAGATTTTCTTAAATTTTAACTAAAATACTTAATAACTATACTAAACTATAATAGGTTAGCTTATATTTTCTTTTAGTTAGATACTTTTAGTACTTAGCTACTATATTATAATAAAAGTTTTGTAGATTACTAGCTAGTTTTGTAGATTACTAAGATTAGTAGATTATCTAAGGTAATCTACTATAGATTACGTTTTGTAAATATATATAGTAGAATATAAAAAGCTATAGCTTTAGAAGCTATAATAAAGTAATAGAGTATTCTAGTATTATATATAATATTACTTTATACGTAGTAGAGTTAACTCTAATAGAAGGCTTAGGTAAAGTCTAAAACTATTATAAATACTTATATACTATTTTAAATAATAGAATCTCTCTATAATAGAACTCTTTCTAACTAAACTATTATCTATATACTTTCTTACTTATACTAACTACTTTATATTCTTATAGTAATATATCTTTATACTCTCTAATACCTATACACTAGTACCTAGCGCTTAATAGTAGAGCACTCGCGATAACTTAACCTACAAGCAGCGATAATAAAACCTTTTGAACAACTATCGCAGATGCTCTAGCTTGCTAGGCTTATCTAAGATAGCGCGCAAAGGCGCTGGGCTGATCTCGCGCTTGTCGGATACAAGCGATGGTCGAAGTGTCTCGGGGTATGTGCTGCGAGCTCCACGAAGCCTTTGGTTAGAGATACGCGAGAGTTGTGAAGATGGCAGAGATGCGGGTGGTGGGATAGGTAGTGGAAGCCGTCGAGATCACAGCAGGCTGTCGCGGCGCCATGTGAGTAGATCATGCGATAGTAACGTCAGACCCACCTCCCGGTTGACAGCTTCTCCCCAGTATCGGCTCTGCCTGTATGCACTGCGCCTCGTGTGGCCCTTCGCTGCATACAAGCTCCAACATCGTCCCGTTTTCGCCATATCGCGCCTCACCCACTCGCCCGGTTCCACGTCCTGTGTCCTGTAGCCGTTGTCGTCGTAAAGGCTCTCGATGTGCCACTCGCGTTGCGGGGTTGACCATGCGCGCGACGCACTCGTTGAACGTCTTGCGCATGTCCAAACTCTCCTCCGGGGCCTTCACATCGTGGCAGTACCGCTGCCTGCGCGCTTCTGCCGCCTGTGCGCGCGCATGGCGGTAGATGGAGGTTCGACGATAGAGGCTGTGGACCGTACGAAGCTCGATGATATCGTAGATGCGCTTTTCAGCCAGGCGTCGCAGCGGGCGACTCGTCCATTCCAGGGCGCATGGTGAATATCGGTGAAGGTATGGCAGTATAGTGTTGAGGCGTAATGTTCTCGTGTGGGTGTGGGAGAGTCTATCGGGAGGCAGGGCGCTTCGCCGCGGGAAAGCCGCTAATGACGTCACGCGTTAGCGCGTCAGCATTCACCTGGGCACTTTCACGAACTTGGATGCGCGCTTCCTCATATAGTCTATACATTGCAAAACGATGGTCCAAATACACTTCGTCGCCAAATGCGATACTGAAAAGCACCCCGAAACGCCTCTGCTGCCATGCCAATCCCGCCCAAGAACTATCCATCGCCTCGCCAAAATGTCCCGCCAAAATGTCCCGCCAAAATGTCTAGGGTTTACCGTCCGCATTCTTGTAGCAAGGGAACCAGCATTCGAAGCTCTGCGTATTCGGCGCACTCCCATCGACGACCTTGCAGAAGCGCGTGGGTTGCGCAGTCGGGTCGTTATCATCGTTCCCGGTCCATGGACCACGACCGTTGCCCTTCATATCCGAGTCCCAATCGAAGTAGTTAACGCCCTTCTGGACCGGTGAGTATTCAAACTCCAATTTGGTACCAAAGCTGCCCGTGCGCTTTATTCGCAGGTCGTTTGGAAGGCCCTGTAGGTCGCACGTGTCGTTGTTGTTGGCCAAGTTGCACTGAGCTGGCGTCGATTCCTTGTTCTCCCAGTCACTAAGCTTGATGTCCTTGATCGTCGCATCGCCGTCGCGAGTGAATTCGACGCCGCATTGGTACAGCTCCGCGTAGGCAGTGTCGGTCAATATGTACTTGTTGTCGTCGCCATTGCGGTTGTAGTAACTGCTGAGCTTGCCGGAAGCGAACGTCTTCTCCATGAGCTCGAATTGCAGGCCGTCGGAACCGCAGACACCTCTTGGGTTTGGGTTTGGCTGACAGAATGCGAGTTTGCTCTGATCAGCACCAGTGATGTCAAAGTCCACGTCGAAGAAGTCGTCGCGGACCATACCGTTGCTTGTTACAATGCGACCCAGCTTGCGACCGATGTCTTGATTCTCGTCAGCTACCATGCAGCGTAGACTGTTTGGCGCCAGTCGGTTCGGATCGCTGAATGGTAACTGCTGAGACATTGCAGGTGGCCATTCATCACAATCGTATTCACCCGGACCTGCTGTCTTGTCGCTGAACTTCTGGCTGAAGGGGAACTCGCCACAAGGGCTTTTGCCTCCAGCAGAGCACCCAGATGCCTGTCGGTTGTGTGCTTTCTCCAACTCGTTGCCCTTGGTGGGCCCGACGTACACGATTCTGCTTGGATTCTGGATACCGGCGGCTGGGGCCTACCGCAGACACAAATCAGTTCGAGTTCAAAGAGAGTGAGCTGGCAAACACTAACCACGCAATTGATGTAGTAACAAGCATTGTTGCAAGCACCCTCTCCACCCTTACAATTTACGGTCTGTTTGCCGAAATCTGTCCCAGCGCGCTTCACGAACATTCTGTCTGCCCTTCCGGGTGCTACTATATCGGGCATGTTGTTGCCCTGCTCCAAGCCCATCGAAGCCTGGAGTAGCAGAGAGATAGCCACGATGTAACGCATGTTGGGCAACGGAACGGACTTGTTTGACGAGTAACGTATTGGAAAGTTCGGGAGGAAGTCAAAAGCGCAAACTGCGTTCAGGATGCGCGGAAGAAGAAGACTGATAACGGAGAGAGCTATCAAGCTGGAGAAATGTGCTGGTAGTAGAGAAACATGAGTAGGATGTTGCAACCTCTTTTATACCAATGCGAGACCACGTCTACCTCAGCGCATTCTACCATCATGGTCATGACTTCGATCCTGGCGGCTGTATCTTGGGGGCTGCATAATACGTTCCCCACAAGAAAACATACTCTCGTGGTGCTCATACTCGACATAGCACCCAGGCGTCCATCAGCGTAGACTCGCAAGTCAAAGTCTGACAGGCCAAACAGCCCCGGCATGTCCTGAGTGCGAAGAACGCCTGACTACTTCGAGCAATACGACCACATGCGTAGGTAATCTTAGTATCTAGAAAAGTGGGATGTCGGGGGGCCAGGAGCCGGGCGATGATATGCGTAGTCAGCGTTTACGAGGCAGTGATCGTGGGGCTGTCTACGTTGCCGCCAACAATGTGCGACAAGGCTGAGTACATGTAACTCGAAAAAGATCGCGATACCTACACAACCATGCTCTTGATGCAGCCATGATTCGCTGCGTTGGACGTTCTGGAGTTTCGAGATCCACGTCTGAGCTTACGGTGCAGCTGCAGGTCAAGAATAAGGTGCGGCGCAGCTGCGCAGCGGGGGGCCTCGCGTAGGCATTCGCTCCGCCTCACTGCATGCACCTGCGAACGCATGTGACGTCAGTGAATAGTAAGACCATTAAGGCCGCGACTTCGTTGCAACAATAACTCCGCAGACTTTGTAGCTTTCTGACTTTCATATAATAACCACAACCTTGCACAAGCAATATGTCTGACCCTCCCTACGCGCTCTTCGTCCTCGACAAGAGCATCACCAACGAGGTCAGCACCGCTGCATCTATTGACCATGTGCACAATAGTAACAATCACAGTATCTCAACTCCGTCCTTGAGCGCGCCTACCATGGCGACGGTGGTGAGGACTGGAACTTCTGGGTCGCGACAGATTCCTACGACGACCTACCCGCATGCCCCGAAGTCCACAAGCCCCCTCCGCCCGGTGGCACGGAGGCGCCTGTACCATCCTCCTTCGTCTCACCCTGGCTCGGAAAGACGCCCGAAGATTGCGCAAAGTGGTTGCAGGCGATGCCACGCACCGAAGACACGGATGAGAAGAAGTTTAGGGTTGACACGCCTGTGAGCGACCTGTACTTTGTTTTCCTCAACGAATTCTCCAAGGACGAAGATCTCGTCTTCGTCGCGCGCGTTGTCGAGGAAGATGGGAAAGAGATGAGAGTTGAGTATTTTCCGCAGTCGACGGAAAAAGTACAGAAACAGATGTGGACGATTTTGCAGTTCGACGAGAGAGCGATCAACTACCAGCGCAGGCAGTCCAGCAACAAGGAGCCAGATCGAAGTCAGTACAAAGCGCCCAAGGACTAGAGGTGTATAGTAGTAAACTCTCGCGCGGATGAAAGAGACAGTTATTGCATACTTGATACTTGATGGCAACGGTAGATGATTTCCTCTCTCTTTTTCTATTTATGAGTCGCCCTTCATATCGATTCTCAATTCCGTCGTTCCACATGAAAGCACAATTTGTCCAATGCGCAAGCCCCTCCCTACCACAGTGGCGCCAACTGGCAACTGTAGTGTAGCTGCCGTACCAGTCGGTATAACAACCTTGAAAGCAACGCTCGTGCCGCTCAACGTCCACGCCACCTTGATCGGTCCGTTGGGCGTCGGCACCGTCCCGCTGACTTCGGACTGGTTCAGCAACCCTATCATGGGAGTGATAAGAACCGTTCGGTACCCGGGAGAGGTTGGAGCGACGCCAAGAAGGTACTCTGGCAGTACATACGTCGGAGCTGCACCCCACGGATGCGCTAAGCTAGTGAAGAGATCGATGCCAGGAGAACCATCGGGCTTTACGTATTCCCAGCTCGCGCCAGAGTAATACTCGTTCTTGTTGACCATGCTACCCCACAGATTGTCGAGCAGATGCTTGATGGCAGGTGTGCTGTCCACTCCGAAGTCGCGCCTTGACTTGAATAGAGCTTCCAACAGAAAGCCTGATGGATTGGGAGCAAGTTGGTAGTCGTCTGTCTCCACGTCACTCGAGATAGTCTTGTAGCCTACTGCGAAGCGAAGCTCCTCAAGCTTCGCAATAGAAGATGCTGCTTGGGTATCGTTGGCCGCACCAGATAGGATTGCCCAGGCGATCCCGGTCAAGGAGAAGTTACCTCGATCGGTGGTTGAGAGTGAGTATGTTCCGAGCTGATCATTCCATAGCTCGCGATTGAGCGCCTCGCGCAACTTGCTTGCCGTTTGGGAATAGTTTATCGAAGCCTCTTCGTCGCCCATCGCAAGCGCAAGTGGCGCGATCTCCTCAAGCATGTAAGCGAAGAGACCGGTCGTTGCACTACCGTTGGCTGGCCCCAGGAAGCTGAATGGCGATGGCACCTCCGGAGAACCTCCAATGAGACCAGATGAGGGATCAATAAAAGCCAATCTCGCGGTCGCAAGTTTCTTGATCTGATCCCAGTGAGGTTTCAGCCCGTCGCGGTCTCCGGTGTAGCGGAAGTATTGGCCGATTCCCGCCAAGAATAGGTCTTGGTAGTCCACCAACCCAGCGTAGTTTGCGATATTTGCTTCCTTGTACTGGGGGCGGGCTCCAAGATTCGTAGAGATTTGGGTAAAGCCGGCGTACGGGCCATCATCAAGCTGAAAGCTTAGCGCGTATATGATGGTGCCCAAGAGGTAGTCAAATCGAGCAGATGAAGCTGCGACAACACGCACTGTGTGGTAGAAGTCTCCTGTCCAGACTAGCCGATCCCGTTTGGCGCCATCCAAACAGACTGAGTGTTCTAAGGGTGCGACCTGATACTCGGCCAAGGTATCTTCGCTCGTCAGGGGATTGCGATACATGGTAGTGCCGTTTCCAGCAGTGACAGTTACGTCTTTGTAATACGCGATCTGGTCCTGCATGCCTCCGAAGCCCCATGTACCTTCGTATCGAGAGGGAGTGCCAAAGTTCCCGGGGGGTGCAGGTGGAGGTAGAGGTACGAACGCAATTTCGGTCCCATTTACGCTCACCCGATATCCAGTCTCCTCAATTGATGTGCGGACGCGATACCACATGTTATCCTTGATGGTTGTGTTGATAGTGAAATACTGGGCCTCTGGCACGGGTAGTGTGCTCTGGTTTACTAGACTCCATCCACTAGTGAATGCCAGCGTGTTTGGAGGCAAGAGGGTTCGGTTGGTGTTTGCGAACGTGTTTCTCTCGGGGTATTCGGACGTAAGCACAAAGTAGGGCCCAATTGGCGGCATTGCACTTGCTACTCTCCAGCCAGCGCCGCCTCGGGCGATCTTGACGTCAAATTCTAGCGTGTAATTGACTGCTTCAACCCCTAGAGAAGATTGCGCACTGGTTTGGCCCCGTATATATGCTCCGTCTTCTGTGATTTCCCACGTGGACGGCGCATTACCGGCATCTACACATGCTACTTGAGCGACGCGACCTCCGAGGTCCAGGACGCGATTCAAACTCTTATCAGATGTCTGTAAGCGGCCTGGTAGCATTTCAGCGTCCAAGTTCGAGCTTGTTGCGCGAAATCCTAGATGATCGATAGTGACGGAACCATTTGTGATCAACCGTGCGGTCTGCCATCGCTGGCCTCCTTGAACGAAGAAGCTCTCGATGTATCCCGTTTCCGTGACGTTGAAAGTTTCCACTCGGAAAGAGTTGGACAGTCCGTTTGAGAATGTCCAAGGTCCGTCTGATAATGGCTCTTCGACGCCGCGGTATTCTTCGCTGTACTTTACTTCGATCTGCACCGTACCAGAGATCGCTGAAACGTGGAAGAACGGGAAGCCGGCTACTTCAGTGCCGTAGTCGAGCGTCACGAGTGGGCTAGCTGGCGATAGTATCAGGGTCTCATTCGTCCACGGCTTCAAGCCCGATGATGAGGGCGCAGATTGCTGTAGGTGTGATTGGGGTGCAATTGAGCCATAATTCACAAAGCTACTATTGTGAGTCAACGGTCTTTTGTATGTATTGCTGGAGGCTTACGCAGTCGTCAATGGGTTGACAAGAATTGTGATGATCGCAAGACGCTGAAGAAGATTCATCGCTGCTTCCGTGCGAGGCGATCTTGACAGGGCTTTCGTTGGCAATGCGGCCGGACCATGATTATAACCAGCGGTCGTCCCTACAACAACAACTGATGGTCGGAAGGTGGTGGAGAAGGAATAGCCGATGAAATTGTGACTCTCGGTGCAAATGTAACCGACGCGATGTAGCTTCGGCAGATATTTGCTCACCATTGGCCAGTTCAGTCTGAGCGTTCTTGAAACTAAGGGTTATCTGGGCAGCCGGGTACCCCGCACGGGGACTTCCCCACAAACCATCGTATCTCGTATCTCGTTTTGTGCAGTTATCGTACGGGGAACCTTTCCTAGTTTCCGTCATAGGGTACAGCCTGGATGATGCTCGGTCGGGCTCGGTCGGGCTCGGAGCAATGCTTGTGGCCGCATTGACGTTGCTTTTATCGTGCTACGATTCTGCGCTCTTCTCGAATCGAGTGAAATCTTCTCTTAACATATTTCGCAGAATTGTACCCACCCTCGCAGCCTGCGCGATAGCATCTTCAACGGCTTGTACGTCGCTCATACTGATCTGCAACGTCCCGGACAAGAGCTCTTTGGTGATGTCATCTCCTGTCGTGACTGTCATCTTCTTCGTACCAGTGACACCCAAGTCGACCTTTGTGGTAGTCGCCCACGGTGTGCTGTACCACAACCACTTCTTCCCGCCGCATGGTATCCAGTACCGCCAGCTAATGTTGTAACCCTCGTTCGCTGCGCCTTTGGGCCGGAAGTTGGAAGGCAACGTCGTCTCGGGGTCCGGGACTTGTTCGTCGGCGATACGACCGGAGAGCACGCGACACGACGGTATCAGTTGTATCGCGCCAGAGACACGGACAGCCAAAATACATGAATCGTAAAGATCCATCCCGGCCAGAAGCGAGCCCATGAGCCATGCGACACTTGAGAGTAAAGTGTCACCAATGACGCCGACCACAGTGACGCCCAGCTCCGATCCTGAATCTGCGCGCGTTGGAAGCTCGAAGTAGTCTGTGTATTCCAGATTGGCGTCGCTCAAGAGCCTCCCAATAATCGCGGGATCTTGTGCGTCGTTCGCATAGCTAAGCACGCCGCGGGGGTGGTTCAGAATCTGGTGCTTCGACACCCCAACCGCCAGTCCGAGTAGCCGCACACCTAACTCGGATGGCCGGTTCTCGTCTGTTATGTTCGGTGTAATGATGTGTTTCATGTCGTCTACCTGCTGTGCGAAGTGACAGAAGATCGATCGAAGCGCAAGCCAGATGACCTGGAAACCAAGCCAGATCCGGAAACAAACGGCCGGCTCATTCGAAAGAACGGCGTATGTGCCGAGAAGAGAAGTAATGCAAACGGCGGCGCCTATAATCCAGAATATCTGCCACGCGCGACCTCTGCGAAGGTTGACAGGTACCCCGAGGAGAATCCTGCGCTCTCCCCCGATCACTTGCGGTGTAGGCAGCGACCCAGAGACGACATCAAAATGTATTAACTGCTCGCCAGGTGTTGTAGCTCTTCCGACGTGAAACAACTGCAACGCGATCGCCGAGAAGAAGGTGTACGCCCAGATGACTCCAGTAACCAGTAAGACGCGTCGAGAGCCGAAGTGGTAGAGCAGAAACATCTCTACGACCTTCAGCAAGGTTGCAAACGTAATTATCCAGTCGTTTCTAGTCTGTGAGCGTTGTACAATCTCCCAGTAATGATCTCGCATGTAGACGTGAGCTTGTAGATGCTCCCCAGGTTGCATTACTGCACAAGATCGCGACGGGCCGGCCGTCCATTCATCGAAAGCGTAAACATCTTCGAAATCTTCGCTCCCAGCGGTTATCAAAGTAGAACCTTCGCTGGTCTGAAGTCGATTAGACATGTCCTCGTATGTGCTTCTTAATTTTGACTTACCTTGGTCCATTTCACCGTCACTCCAACAGCACTGCCAGTGACTACGCGACTGTTTGCCTTCCTACTCAGACTCATGCAACACCCAATAGCCTTATCAGAGCCACTGGTTCTCACACCAACGGTATCTCGAAGCCATCCTGGTGTGCAGGCGGATATGCATGCTTTGACGATGAAGATCGACCCAAAGGAGCTCAAAGCCGCCCATGGCAAACCGCAAGCGCCGCGATTCCCTAGAGCAATCAATTCAGCAGTCGAGCCCCCGATCACAGCAGTCAGAGCCGCGATCTCGACCAGACCGCCGCTGAAGTTCACCTCCTCTCCTTCGTCTAGGCTGCTAGCGCATACATGGAACATGATGGCGACAGTGAGTGGTTGTCTTGCGCTGCGGAATGGAAATGAGGCGATGCGACGCTTTTATGATCCAGCTGGCACCGGTTCCGGTGTATGATGCAGCCTGGCGTGATGCCCGTTCAGCTTCGGAGGGGTATTTGTGGCTGGTCTGTACAGGCTCTCATTCGTCTGCGTCAGCATACACAGCTCTTGGCTGCATTCGCAGTCGCAAGTATACTGGTTCGCTGTGAACAGGCTTGCCGCCTATGGAGTCGTCGGCAGCTCTTGCAGACATCCTAAGCTGCACCTATCCTCTTTGCGATAGCGACAGGCGCAATGAGGGAAGCTTATGTAAATTACACAGTCTAGGCAGCTTGTGCGCGTCAAGCCATTGCCCGTCTATCCGACGCGTCAAGCCTCGTGGCACAGCAGCGGCGGCATCAGGCAAGATGGACTCATCGCAGCTGTCATCGCGACGATTAGCGAAGACTTGTTGCAGCACTGATTGGAGTGCGGTCTGGTCGCGATGGTGGTATGCGTTGTCACGCAGGGCATCGTTCAAGTGGTGAGGCAAGGTTGAGACGGGTCCATTGTTGGTGGTGAGGCGAGGTGTTGAGATGTTGGCACGTGCCTTTTCAAGTGCCCGAATCGCCGCACGCACCTTCACGCCAACGCAACAGGCTTACAATCATCATCTAACCCGCATGAATCGCATCATTAGTTTCGCCTCGCATGCTCGCAGCCGCACTTCAATCGATATATTTGGGTCTTTGGAGCACCACTTCTAAAAATACAACGGTCACAGCAGGGTCTTCAAGTTTGCTAATCTGCATTGCATTACGACTACCTCATACGAAGTCTTCCACCTAACTTTCCAGGTTGTGTACGATTAAATATACAAGATTGCCGCCAACAGAATGCAGGAAGCCAACAGACCAAACTGCCCTGCGTACGACTGTACCGCTGACCCTACGAAAACCTGTCGACGCTGCTGAGCCTGGTGTTGAGTCGGCACACTCTGAGGATTGCGGAAGACATTATCAGGATCGACCGCCGCCTTAATCTGCTGTAGACGTTGCACATTGCCGCCCCAGTAGGCCCGCTGAGGGTCCGAAAGCTCAGGATCGACGTAGCCTGGGTACGCGCCATCATCGCACGTCTCCTTCTGCACTAAGCTGCTAAGGCCAGACAAGAACGTCTTGGACGCGTCGGTGACAGGTCCTCCAAGATTGACGACATAACTCTGCATGAAGTAGGCGGCGTCGCGGTGCCAGTATGCGGTAGCGGTCTGCGGCACATCGGCGATGGCACCGCCTTCGAGATCCCAGATCACGAGCCATACGGGCGCTCCCTTCTCAGTGCCATTGATGTAGGAGAACATGGATTTGATGGCTTTGTCCGACAGCAGTTTGTGACTTGGCGTCTTGACACTCTTGGCATAGAACGGGATGGGAAAGCTGCCGCTGGCTGTCAGGTCTGGGTCGCCGAGTCCTGGGAACGGAAGTTCGCCAACAGTGACATCCACAACGACGGTTGAGGTATTAGCAGGAAGGATAGACTGCGCGTTCAGCTTATCGAAGTCGGACTTCGGCCCGTAGAAGTTGCCGTTGATGACCATCGAGCCCTGGCTGAGAGTCATAGTGCTGGAGAATCGGCGGTCGAGATTCTTCTGCGTGCCAAACTTCTGCCATTTTTGGAATGTGCTTGCGAAGGCATTTGCGTCGTCGGCCGCGATGGTGTAAGCGTACTTGGTGATCTCGGTCGGCGCGGGTGCAGTCTTCATAGTGAACTCTGTGACAATAGCGAAAGAGAAACCGGCGCCTCGGATGGCGAAGAACAAGTCGGGGTTTGTGCTTGCACTAGCTGTCACGGCGGTGCCGTTTGCGAGCACACATTGCGCTGACACGATTTGATCGGCTCCCACGCCCAGCTGGCGACTGAGCGTTCCGAGACCTCCAATGGTCAAGTGGCCACCCGTGCCGATGACGGCTACTTCACCGTATGCCATAACCCGCTTGAGAGGTAGAAGCTTCTCGGAGATGTTGCCGAGAAGGTTTCCCTGTGAAAGATGCGCACGTCAGCGCATGTGCAACAAACGGTGTTCGTTACAGGTGTAGTGTGAGGAGGTCACTTACCGGGCCAAAAGTCACCGTGTGGTCACCCTCATTGTAAGAGAAAGATGCCATATTCTTCATATCCACCACCAATGAGCCATTGAACCCTCCCAATGCTATATACGACGTTCGTGTTAGCAAGTTCTTAATCACAACTCGTCCTTCTGGGTTCAGGCTTACCATAGTTCGCATAGCTATGACCGCCGCTGCGCGCCTGTACTGCAACTCCTGCGGCGTTCGCACACTTCACGACTTCCGATACTTGCTCCTGGGTCTTTGGGAATGAAATCGCGGCCGGAACGATGTTGTAGTTGAGATTGTAGGGGTGTACATCTCCCTGCAAGAACATTGGGTCGTTCGGCAGCATCCAAGTGCTGGTATCGTTGCTGAGGGCCGTTTGGAGGCATTGCACGAATGGGGCGTTCTGGGCTGCAGCAGCAGTCGCGGCCGTCAATACGGTCGCTACCAATAGGTTTTTCATCGTTGGAAACCGATGGTGAGGCTGAGGTATGGTAAGGACTGTTGGTGGGCGAGTATGGCGAAATAGAGAGATGACAAATTCTTGAAGCGAGCGGATGAAGAAGAACTTAAGGAAAAGAGCCCTTAGAAAGGCAGTTCTATCATCTTATGTCGAGAGACTTAGTCTGCTTGGTTTGTCGCCCAAGCCCCAAGCCTTAATCCAGGATGTCCAGGTAATCTTACATACCGCCGTCTCCGACGTCAGCCCTCTATCGCGCAACGACGATGCCTCCAGCAACCTTCGCCCAGCACGAAGAGTAGACTGCGTCTTCAACACAAACTAGAGCTCGAGACTGGTTCGCGCAGGCCCCTCAAGCTGCCATCTGGCAGGCGCAGATTCTCGAGCATCTCGAGGCTGCAGCGTCTCCGCACGTCATCAGCCTTGTGCGCACCATCATGATCGCGCGCAACCAAGCGACTCACTTTCCGAAAGAATGACCGGTAAGCACCATGCTGACAGAACGAGGCTCAAGGCGGGCAAAGTAGTGGTTTTACTTCGGTGTTTGGGTTCGAGTTGAGATCAGGGGAACGCGTTCTCGACCAATCACGGAGGATCGCTGGAAAGATCCCCCGCGTTCCACATCCACGCATTGACTGAACGCTGGCTCTTCCCTACCGGCACCATCCGGGCATTGAATTACTTACTACGCTAGGTATGCCACGATTGTTTGGCAATATAGCATGTTTCTTCTTATCCCGACACCGGCGTCGTGTTAGAGGCTCAGCACTGTTTTTTTGTCGCGTCAGCGTGATGCGCGTCGCCTTTGCGAAGATGACGGACGTGCTCCTCAACTGAAGTCCATCTCCTCACGCAAGAGACCAAGACTAGCAGAACCTCAACCTTAGGCACGCAGCTCTCGCGCCGTATGTCTGACCGTGATGCGCAACCGTCCAGTCTGCTTCTAGAAGATGGGGATGGACAACCGCGAGGCCACGTAAAGCCAACAACACGCCGCCGCCCATTGTCGCAAAGAAACACAGACGTCAGCTGCAACAAACGCAGTCGAAAGATCGCCGAACTGAAGATGCCTCGCCACAATAACAGAGGACGACAGGCCAGCACGCGCACTCTAGTCGCGTCCTTCTGGAGGATCTCACGACGGGCTCTCCCGTGAGCGTCCTCTGTTGCCAACAACAACCCACGAGATGCGCTCCCGGTCCAAACCCACGGCCCGACACAGACGTCTTGAATCGGGCGAAATAGAGCCGACATAGCATAGCACCCGGCGGTGGTCGACAGAACGCTTCCGGTAGATGCCGTTGATGTAAGCATGCCAACATCAGCCGTCCTCGTCGGCTATTCACAGAAACGCAGTCAGGGAACAAAATATCGCTTTCTACAAGATCTCTATTTAGTATGCCTACAAATGTTGCTGACGGTATCACGAGTTGGCAACGACGAGGGTCACTATCGAAACAATCAGATGCAGCGAGTTCGGTTCATTCTGGGGAAGCAATGATCACATTGGAACCCTAATTGGATTTGCAGCTATAAGATGTATCAACTCGCTTTTCTGGCGTGACTTCTCGCCTCCTACTTCGCCCCATTCCCCTCACTCGCCTTCTCCGGCGTAGGCGCAAACTTCGAGCGTTCCCTAATCGGGCCACCATACTTATAAAACACAAAAGGAATAGGCGCAAGCACACAAGCCATTCCCGCAATAAGCGAGCCACCGCCACCAACACCAAGAGCGTCAAACATGTACTGTGTGAACAAAGGCGCTGCAGCGCCTGCAGCGGAGCGCACAACGGTGTTCGCTGCCAGCGCGCTCGCAGCGTACATGAGATACGTGTCGGTGAGGTAGTTGAGATAAGCGACGAAGATGAGCAGGATAGAAGTCGAGAGGAAGACACCGCCGAGCGTGGGAACGACCCAATGAACGCTATTGTACTCTGCGGACCACGCGAACCAGAACATGGTGATGGGGAACATGACGCCGCCGAGCATGGCTACAGGAAGACGGTCTTCGGGTGTGGCTTTGTAGCCGGCTTCTGCTCTTTTTCTGTCCCGGGCGGTGTTCGCGAAGATGATGGCGCCGCCGATGGCGGCACCGAGGGCAGAGCCGATGAGCGGGAGCTCGCCGACGCCGGAGTTCCAGCCGCGGTGTTGTTGGAAGACGATGGGGTAGATGGTGAAGAGCATGTATAGTAGGGCGTATACGACGGCAAGGTAAATGGCGACGGCGAAGGAGATGGGGTCGATAAGGATCTTCCACGGGCGAGTGAGAGCAACATGGAACATGCCTGCGAGCGTCCTATCCGTCACTTCGACTGGTGCCTTGACCTCTTCATAACCAGGGATCTTAAGGGCGCGTATGCGCTTGGCTTTGTTGCGTAGCACGATTGAGGGCAATGTCTCCGGAATCGTGAACATGAGTATCTCGGTAAAGGCACCCAGCCAGAGAAGAACGTAGAAGCACCATCGCCAGTCTTTCTTTAGTTGGAGAAAGCCTGATATGACGGGTCCGAGCGATGGACCGATGAAAGTCATCATGGAGAAGGCGGCCATTGCATTTCCACGCTCCAGTGGTCCCCAGATGTCTGCCAGTACACCTGGTGCATTGGAGAGAGGGGCACTTGCAAATGTACCCGTCAGGAACCGTCCCACCAGGAGCCCACCGAAGTTCGGCGTGAACGCGCAAAGGAAGTTGAAGGCCAGGTAGAGCGTAAAGGTAACGTAGAAGATGTATCGGCGACCGAAGAATTCTGAGAGCGGAGCAAACACCAGAGGACCAGCGCAGTACCCCAGAAGGAACAAGGTAATAACTAGACCCCCAGCTTCGGTGGAGACGTGCAAGTCTGTCGAGAGTGACTCAAGCGTGCCGGAGGGGCTGGACGACGCGAACGTAGCGTTCACAACTAGGGTGACCGACACCACGGTGATGTACCATCTTCTTGCGGTGGACCAATTCTTCGGGTTCTCGATATCATTGGGGCCGAACTCAAGCAACCCTTCGTCGTTAAGGTGTATTTCTTCGGAGGCTTCTATGTCGCCGGTCTTGTATGGCTTCGCTGTCGGCCGCGACAAAAATCGCTCGAGCTTCTCCATGGCGGACGATTAGGTTGGGGATATGGGGAGAAGGCACAGGTGGAAACAAGCCTTTCCCCACGGCTTGGTGCGTTATACATAGGACTATTCAAGCCACACTCATGCGCGGATGATGAAATGGGTTCGGCCGAGGCCATGATTGGTAAGGGTTCGGAGCTCGTCATTCCGCGGAGGGCGCCAACCGAGCGTCCGCATGAATCCACAGCGTCATCGAATCATAGAGGTCGGTCCAACGTCAGCTCTGACTTTGAAACTGTATGTTTCTGAATTGTAGCCCATGAGTTGAACTGTGATGACTCCATGCCTACAGGTAAGCCAATGCTGATGGGTCAGAGTGGTCGGAGGGTCGCGATGTGAGTGGAAATGTGAAGGGTTTTGGCGCAGTTAAGCGGTTTTCGGAGATAATGAACAATGACATCAACAAGTTGGCGCGCCCCAATTTTAGGCTATGCTTTTTCCTGCTCTCTGCATGGCGAACACTCGAGGTCATCTGTCTTACATGTTGAACATGATGTTCTATAAATGCTCTTGTGGTAATGCAAACGTAGTGCTGCTCAAATCGCGCTTCTACGAAACAGCTGGTCGCACAGTAAGATCCGACAGCATGCCACACGGATGTTAGCTTAGGCATCCAAGCTAAGAGAGAGAAAAGGACGGGATGCGCGGAAGGGTGGAGCTAAATGGTGGAGCGGAAGCGCGGCCGGCTCGTGGCTTGGGGGTGGATGCAGGTGGATGGTCCACTTCAGGCTGTCGTACTTCAGGCGCGCTGCGAGCCTCGAGTCGGGTCCGCATCATCGCTATAATACCCATCATCGTCAGCGCTCGCTCGTCCAGTTAACTCGTACTCTCCAGCATCAGCCAACTTCGCCGCAGGGCCATCATCAACGTCCTTGAACATGCGATAGAACACAACGCCCGCAACACCAGCAATGAACGCCAATCCAAAGTACAACCACTGCAAGTGCGGGTCTCTTGCCAACGGAGCAATCAAGATACCCAAGGCGCTTCCACCCGCGCTGGTGAGCAAGAAGAGACTCATAATGAAACTCTTCATATTCTCGGGTGCTTTCGCATATGCCAATTCCAGGCCGGTAACACTAGCGAGGATCTCGCTCAGTGCGATCAGCACGTATGCTGGGGCTTGCCATGCGACGTGGACTTGGTTTGGTTTAAACTTGCCTTCGCTGATCTTTCCCGCGTCGCAGTTCGATGGGCTGAAGTAGCAAGGTGGCGCCGCGTAGATCTTTGACTGGAGAGCGCCTGCGTATAGCATGGCGAGCGCGGCCATGAGGAAACCGAGAGAGATGCGTGTTATTGGCATCAATGCGATGTGTAGTCGTGTGCGGATGAACGGGTAGACGAGGCGGTCCATGATTGGGATGAGGATGATGATGGTGACGGGATCGATGTTGGGAAGGATGTCGTTGGGAAGGCCATGCAACTCCATTTGACCGGCTTGCGAGACGAAGTTGTTCAGCATCTGCGAGTAGGAAAGCCAGTAGATTGGGAAGAACAGGAAGACTTTGCATGCGACCAGCGCGGTCTTCAACTCGTCGATAAACTTGTCATCCCAAGTCACCTTCGACCTGCTTCTTCCGTGCCCTTGAGCGGAAGCTTTCGCTTTGTCAAGATCTCCGCCGTTCCTTGCGGCGATGTATAGGGCGCGAAAGCAGTTGCCAATCACCCCGCCTTGAGGTGGCTTGATGATGTACTGCTTCCTTCCTCTCACCAGCACCACATAGCCCACGCAGAACATGACCAAAGGTAGAAGATAAGCGCTCCAGAAGCCAACATGCAACTCCAACATAGTCGTTGCGATCGCAGAGATTGAGCCTACGTTGATGCACATGTAGAATATCATGTAGATCCTCTGTACCGTAATCTCTGGATCGACAATGACGCGCTTTCCTCCAGGCAGGTCCTTGACAAAAGGTTTGTTAGACCGCACTTGCTCCGCGATCAACGGCGACACGTTGCTCTTGATGCCACCAGTACCCAGGCCGATGACCAGCATCGCGACAATAAGTCCAGGGTATGCGGCTCCACCTCGAACCGCCCACGGCAAGCTGGTGATGAAGAGAATCGCGATGCCGACCATGTACACCAAACTGAACCACTTAATCGTCGCATACTTCCCAAGATATTGGTCCGCAACAACGGCGCCAAATAAAGGCGTGAGGTAGCACCAGAATTGGAAGAAGTTCGTCATCGCTGTCGCACCACTCTGCTTCAAGCCAAGAGCGCCAGGTAGGCCGTTGGGGTCGTTGTATTCGTTGGCGATGTAGTTTTGGAAGGGCCCGGAGAGTCCGTAGTAGGCGAAGCGCTCACAAAGCTCGACAACGGCGACTAGGAAAGCGCCATATGGCAGCGTGTCTGCTACGCGAGGCAGAAATAGCAGATCCTCTGCTGTCGGTATGGAGCCAATGTGAACAGGCGCTTCAAAGGGAACGGCATCCGCGTCTTCATTTGCGACGTCTTTGCCATGTACTGTGAGGTTCGCACTTGCAGTCTCGGTCTGCGCAACAGTCGTGTATGCACCGCGCTCTTCACCATTCTGTCGCCAGGATGAGGCCATGTTGGACAGTGTTGTTTGATCAGGTGTTCTTTGTTTATGTACCCTTGGTGCTTGGTGGTCCTAATCCCTTGGTTGGGTCCCGTCACGGCGATCAAAGCCTTTCGCTGCTATATCCGGTGCGCACGCTCATGGCATGGTCGGAAACCGTATCGTGTCCATGGCGGCGTGGTGTTGCCTGAGTTGAGTGGTCTAAGCCGTGAGTTGATGGGATTGGAGATGAAGACACGCGTTCGCGAACACGGGAAGGTGAGACGGTGCTCGCGTCCGGTCTAGGCCGGATTGGTTGCTGAATACCCCACAATACACAATCACACTCATGCTCAAGGCCAGACGTTTCGCGGTCACGCATCATGGACATCACATCGCAATGAAGTCTGGCAACGCAAACCATCTTTTTGTTATGCTGTTACGGTCGCACTGGATAGCCGCTTAAACCTTCCCCGCGAAAAACCCATCCAACCTCCCCCCCAAATCCCGCACCCCCAACCCGCCCGTCAAACTCCCTCTAATCCACTTGGGCAACTTGTCTTGAATGCGCTTACTCCCATACCGTCTATCCAGCATCAAAATCGCCGCAAAATCCCCCTTGTGCCTTATCGCCCTGCCCACACACTGATTAACAGCGCGCATACAAGCATTCTCGTAGAACTCGCGCGCAGCAGCCTTGCCATCGCCATCACCGCCGCCGCTATTCGCTTGTTTAGCGGAGATATACTGCATCTTCGCCTTCCATTCTGCCGAATGCGGATTCGGAAAAGGGAGACCGACAACAACGACGCCGCGGCCGAGGGCATCGCTGAAGTTGATGCCTTCGGAGAGGGTGCCGCCGATTACGGCGAAGAGGAGGGCGCCGCGGCCGGAGCCGGATGCGATTGCTGTGCTGTAGGCTGTGAGGACGGAGTTTGCGGTTGCTTCTTTGGATGCTGCGGGTGGCTGGTTGGACGTGGACGGTGGTTGTTGGCTGCGCTGCTCGAGGAAGACGGGCTTTGTGCGGGTGAAGCTGTCCCAGAATGTGGATGTGGATGTTGAAGAAGCGGGCTTGATGCGCTTCCACGCGACGATGCAAGCGTCGAGGAAGGAGTAGCTGGGGAAGAAGACTACGACGCCGTCTGGGATGTGTTGCGCAAATGTCAAGATGGCGTTGCCGAGATCGATCATCGTCTTCTCTTTGTTGCGGTTCTCGAATGTAAAGTCGAACTCGGCCCCACTTGTGGCTCGGACGACGGGCGCAGCGAGAAGGTTCGAGGGCGGAATGACGTGGCCGCAGGATAGTGTCATGATCTTTGAGGGATCCAGGTATGATAGCAGATGCTGCTCGTAGTCGCTCATCGGCGACATGGTGCCGCCAGCTAGTACGACTGCCCTGGCTTCTTCGACGATGTCTTTGAAGTGGTAAGTTGGGTCCAAGAGCATGTACCGTAGCGTAGTGCCTGAGACTTCTTCCTTCGCGTAGAAGAAGCGGCCTTCGCTGGATGGGTTCATCAACGACAGGAGGAAGGCCTGTACATGCATCAAGACTGGTACAGTATGTCGCGGCCCATTCTTGGCCGACTTCGCGACTGGCTTTTGCGCGCTTCCACTCTCCGCTTGTTCGGCGAACACAGTGTATCCGTCGACTTTGCGCGCCAGTCTGCTTTCCTGGAGGTACGTGTTGAGCTTGTAGATGTTGATCTGATCAACGCCTTTTCCCGCCATGATCGCAGCCATGTCTGCCAACCCGTCTGTCGATTTCGCGTTGGCATCAATGGACTGTAGATACGCGATGATAGAGTCCAAGATGCGGACTGTCTGAGCAACATACACGCGATTCTTCCCTTTGAGCTTGTTCCGGAACTTCTGGAGGTAGGCTGTGAGTTGGGCACGGGCTTGTTGCACTTGGTCGAGGGTCACGGATACGGAGTAGATGCCTGCGATGGCATCCATCAAGTTATGCGCTTCGTCGATGATGACGATGTGGTCTTTGAGGGAGAGGCCAAGTGCTTCACGTGCTGTGCGCTGGAGGAGTAGTGGGTAGGGTAGCGTTATGATCTGAACCTGTTAGTACATGAACACATCGCAGGAATGAAAAGCGAACTCACCTCACAGTACTTGGTAGCTGGTCTAGAAGCGTAGTACGGACATACACCCAGCTTCTTACCCAACACCCCCAAGTCCTCGATATCTCTAATCTTCGCAAGCGCATGGTCGCGGAACTCATTGACCAACGGCTCGCTTTCCTTGGTCGGCATATGCGGACATCGGCTTTCGGTTTTGCTATTTTGCTGAAGCTCCAGGCATCGTTCGTTGATGGCCGTGGCGCTACCGAGCTTGTTGACTTTATTGTTGATGCAGAGATTCTTCCTTGATCCAAGAGTAAGGTGCTTCACATCTTCTACAAGCGTCTCCATGCCACCGCTGCTCTCATCGCTGTCTGGGGCAATAGCGGGCGGCATCTTCACGCGCCCCAGCTCACTAGAGAATTGCGTCAACTGAGAGTGTGTTCGCGAGCAGAAGAATATCTTCGTCTCGTCAGGCGCCTCTCCGTCGTCATCTTTTGGTGCATCTGCGCTGTACCCGAGTGATGCCATCAAGGCCTGGGTTTCTGCCGACAGTCCAGACTCATCGAACGCGCCGGCTCTTGCCCGTTTGTGAGACTCCGCATCGCTTTCGTAATCATCCAAAGCGAACTGAGCTTCATCGTCATTCTCGGTATCACCTGCCGCTGTCTTCTGTCTCTTATACTTAGGCTCGCCACTCTCATACCGTTCCTTAGCCCTCTTCTCTTTCGCTTTAACCTTAGCAATACGATCGTTCAAATCCTGTTTCCGCCTCAGCGCCTCCTGCTTCCGCTGCTTCTGCGCATGTTCAACAATCCACGCAGGCTCCTCACTATTCGCCGCATCTACCGTGAACCCTTCTTCGAACGTCCGTCGCTTGTGATCGCGTAGCCAAGTCAAGGAGCCACATATCAAGCTCAGCGATTTGCCGGTTCCGGTCGGCGACTCGAAGATGCCGACTTTGCCCTCTTCCAGACACGTGTAGACAGCGCCCATGAACTCATTTTGGATGTCGTAGGGCGTGTATGGGTGGTGGAAATTTCGTGTTGCGTCGGTGTTAGACATTGTAGTTTGGTGGAAGTGGGTTGGGTGACGCGACGCGTGGAGGAAAACGGGTGTTCACGTGGTGCGTTTAGCGCCCGCCGGCCTACTATGACGCGACAATCATCATTTCGCACCCAGTTTTCTTTCCTTCTGAACAACATAGATCGTACATTCTAATATGTTCTCGTCGGCTCACCACGAGCTTTATAAAATTATCGAGTAAAGACCAGGGCCTAGTGGCGGAGGGGTCAGCTGAGGATCCAAAACCTCTCTTGCCTCTACATGGAAGAAGTAGTGTCCGATATTACACGAGTGGACATTACAACTGCGATAGATGTGCCGGCCTAATCCAGCTCTTCGAAATAACGTTTACATGGAATCATCCCATACCTGTTGCAATGCATTATATTCCACTCCATCCACCCAGCCCACTACTCATCAAGCAACCCTTCAACCGTGCATGCCACACACCTCTAATCCCTCCCCTGCCCTCCCCTCCACTCCCAGCTCACCCCACAATCCTCCCCCTCAACTCCGTCCTCTTCATCACCTCCTCCTCCGCCAACCCATCCATCCTAACCTCGCCCTCCTTCCCCCCCTTCCCTACCATCCGAAACCCCTTCACCAGCCCCGTCCCACTCTGCATACCCACACCCTCCCCCCACCCCCAATTCTCCTCCATCCACGTCACCGGCCAAAGCAGCACAGTGCCTGCGACGCAAAACACCATGGCCCAAGCCTGCCAGAGCCAGATTAGCATCCAGGCGCCTGGCGCGATGAAACGTATCCATTGGTCGACTTGGTATAGGTCTTCTTGTTTGGAGATGTGGTATTTTGGTTTTTGAGATTGGGAAGGGGAGGAGGTGGTGGTGGTAGAGAGAGATTTGCGCAGGTGCAAAACGGTAGTAAGCCGAACAGGCGCGTAGTAAAACGGTATGAACCAAATACGGAAGATTTGGAATATGGTTGCGTATAGGATGAGGTTTGTTTCGTCGAATGCTGTTTCTCTCAGTTAGTCATTGCACTCTTTTCTGGTCCTCCCAACCCATGCAAGCTAAGACATACCGACGCTCGTCACCGTACAATCAATCCTCGGACTCATAATCTTATACCAGCGATACGTCCTTTCCACCAACCACCTAGAATTCGGTCGGCTCCATGTGCGGCAAAAGGGGTGCGAAAACGCGGCGTCGGGTGTGAAGTATTTGTCGATGGTTGCGCGCTGGAGGGACGGGGGTGATTGCGTGAGGAGGTGGACGATGGCGGGTATTTCTTTGACTGCGATGGGAGGGCGAGGTTAGCGGGATGCGCGATGGAGGGATGAGGATGAGGATGGGCGGAGGGTGGCTGGAGAGGGTGGGGGATGGAGAGGAGGGGCGACGTACCTGGGTCTTCCATTGTGGGTGCGCTGAGGTTTGCTGTGGGAATGCGACGGGTGTTTGATGGGTGAATGCTTTGGGTTGTGCAAGGCGCCGAGGTTTGACGCGGAAGGACCAGGACGGAACGCGCTTGTGTGACGTCATTTTGGGTTTCATCACGCTCCAACAAGCTCACATCTATGCAACGAGGCCATGGTGGTGGGAAGCATGTTTATTATTTGATTATCTCTTGGTCATCATGGTTCTATCTCTTTCCTCTTTCTTGGAGTATCATGAGATTTCCAATGTCCATCTACTGCGATCTGTACTGCTGAATCTCGGCCTCATCAAGATGCCTCAGCTTGTTAACATTCGGCGCCTCACCAGTCGCAATACCCTTCGCCAGCTCCACAAGCCCGCCAATCTGTGTTCGCTTCGACACAGCGTACTGCGCAGTGCTGACCTTGACGCGGATGATGCCAATGCGCGGGTCCTCTGGGCCACCGTCGTGCTTGCCGTCACCGAGATCGCCAATCCACGCCTTGAGCGCCGGTGAGTAGTGCTTGCGGACGACGTCACGGTCTGTCTCGATGGAGGCGTGGCCGGAGATGGATGCCCACTCGCCTGAGTTGTTGATGAAGCCGACGTTGACGGACTTGTGCTCCTTGAGGTCGTCCGTCTTACCGGACTCG